AATACGGATTTGATTGTTAAAATCCTGACTTAGTGCAGGAAAATTCCTGATATTCCGTTTGTAAAATTTGAGAATGCACTTGACCCGGAAATATTCGAGTAATGAGTAAATACATGAAGAATAATTTATCGGGGGTATTCTGCTATCAGAATTGTTCGAAAGGACTGAAATAATTGATAAGATTGAATTTAATAGTAAGATCGGACGGAAGAAAATGATTAAAATACAATGAATATGTAAAATAACCAAAATACCCCTGTAATAGAAATGACCCAAGAATACCACCAAGCTCAGGAATGATTGGATATCCTCGAGCTCTGAAATGAATGGAATAAAACTGAACACCAAAATTACCAAAATACCCTTGTGACCTAGACTAAGTAGATGTTGAATTAATTAAGGAATCCAAATAAACATGGGTGTGGTACTGATCTTAAAAGTTATGGATCACCTATTAAGCCGAGCAACCAATGCTAGTGTTATATCAGTACCTGAACGATATAGATGTCACTTGAATGCATGTTTGTATTTTCAAGTTTGGCTCGATGATAGTTTTGGAAGTATTCAACTCAACTCAACTCTAGAACGCATTCAATAGTAAGGAGTTGATATTTGTTAGACAAATCGACCACGAAGACCAAATTGAATTGAACGAAAGTACAGTATGTGTCCGAAATTCAGAAACGTCTAGATTACCCTGAAAAACCCTCGAATATTACGGGAATGGACATGACTGGTAAATAAATTAGGTAAACTCAATGACTGAGGATTTAGTAAGTGATTTGGATAAGTCTGGAAACTCTGATGAGTTTACATAGTGTACAATTACGATGGTTTATGATTAAAATAATCAAGTACGTCAACATTACATGATATTGTGGAAGCGTGGAAATGAAATAAAGAAATTGGAAGATTTATTTAGCGATGATTCCGAAAATGGTCTATGGACAAGAATTTGTGGTATTAAAGAGTAAATACCCTGGAAGAACAATGAATTGACCAATCGACAGACATTAGTTCTGGGAACTATTCACCTAAGAGTTGTCCGATAATCCGATCAATCGACATAGAATATAAATGTCCTGAACCTTCATTTCTTCCTTATCAGCTCAAGTCACATTCTGAATAACTGATGATTCTGTCAGTTATTGAACTCTTCCAATAGTGATTTTGAATTCCGTTATTCTATCGGTATACTGAAGATCCGTGTTCCTCTACTTGTTAAGATTATCCAATATCTTTGAATACTATCTGTAAATTCATGTGTGTCCCCTACTCATATGAATATTTTACCTGATTTTCGATTTAATTTCTGATCTGATACTTGACATGGATTCTGATATGATATCTGACATGAATTCTGATCTGATACTTGACTTGGATTCTGATCTGATACTTGACTTGGATTTTGATATGATACTTGACGTGAATTATGATTTGATTTTTGATATATTCGTTTACGGACGGAACATGTTTTATTTGGGGGGTTAATGTTGGAGGAAGAATACCTGGAGGTTCTTTGGTTGTGTGCTCATGGCCTTACTTACCAGTTCCTCGGCTGTGTGCTCAGGGCCTTACTGGACGTGACGGAGTTGTATGGTTCTGGGGAATCTACACATTTTGTACGTGACAGATGGGGGTATACATATATATATATATATATATATATATATATATATATATGTTTTAAAAGATTTGTATCTTTTTACTAGTTTTATGGGAACACACTAGATAACCTATTCTGATCTCCTGAACTTAGTCATCCGAAATATTTGTCTAAACTGAAAGCTCATTGTCCGTTACTATCTGAAATATCAGTAGGATCTCTGCTCAGCATAAAAATCTGTAAATGTTTGGAAATAATAAGGATATGTATGTTTATCTGTATCTGCACGTTCTTCAGCATCATCTGGTAGTTCTATATTACTGAGCTTTTCGAAGCTCACTTTATTACTCACATTTTCAGGTTAAAAGAATTGTACCAGTGCATCTATCGACTTCAGTAAGGGAGTTCTTCCGGCGTTGTTGCAAAGTATGGTACATTTGATTAGGGGGCATGAAATTGTATTTTGATTTATATACGAGTCTGGACGTCTGTTTTATTTTTAAATAGTGACAACTAATTTTATAAGTTACACGTTTCAATAAAAGTTTTAAATTTTCCTCTATTTTTACAGTGAGTCGCTCCGGTGGCCCAAATGTGACACCTCGGATCAGATCTAGTTACCCTTATCAGTCTGTGGGGGTTACAAACATAAACATATGTCTCGTTCGTTCATTTACGTTCGTGAACGTTCGGTTATGTTCGTTCGGTTAAGTTCGTTTATGTTCATTCATTTATGTTTAATACAATCTTTTTAAATCAATTTTGGTGACCAATTTGTAAGTATCTTAAAAATATTAATTAATCTGATTTTCTGATGACCAACTCCATAACTAACCCAATTTTATTTGGAAAACTCAACAATATTAACATGGTTTAGTTCTTTTTGAACGATCCATAAGCTGCATACCCAGCACCATCAACATCCACTGTGCCGGAACCCTATGTGACTGCGCCATCAGCTGGTTATCCGATGAGCAAAGAGGAGTTACAGAAACTGGTTGCTTTCGAAACCAAGTCCAAAGGTGATGGATTCCGGAAGGGGTGTTAAGTATTAAGCACTGTTTCTTCTACTCAAATAATCTTTTTTTCTTTCATATATAATGAAGTATTCAAATTTACAAGTAAATAGTGATCAACTAGCAACTCAAGTCAGCTTACTTTTAACTCAATAATCCAATAATGGTGAGACCTTATTCCATAGGTTGAGAAGTTCTTTAAAGCATTTCATCAAACAAATTTTGTGCGCTATCCGGATATGGAAGTTTAGCCAACCGAGAAAGAATGGTTTTTGATGTATGAGTTGGTGTGAACAATAAACCAACATACTTCTCTCATCTCCCAATTTTCAAATTCTACATAGCACGAAGCTGAGGACATGTTTGTTTGATCCCCAAGGATTAAGGTCGGCAATCACATGAAACACAATCTGTGTTCATCTCGACTGTTGTTGAAGGAGAGAGAAAGAAAGAAAGTGGAGGAACGTTATGCAATCCCACATCAGTAGCAAACAAGTAGTTCGGGGTTGGTAACTTATATAAAAGAAGATGGGGGAGAATAGGTTTAAACATCTTTGTGCTTGGGGCAATGTCGAGCTTGAATCAAGCTCAGAATCGAGCTTTAATCGAGCTCAGAATCGAGCTTGAATCGAGCTCAGAATCGAGCTTCAATAGAGCTTGAGTCTCGAGTTTTAATCGAGCTCTTAATTTTTTTTGAGTTCAAGCCTTTTCGAGTTCGAGTCGAGTTTCAATATTATAATTCGAGTTCGAGTCGAGCTTGATAATTTTAAGCTCGCGGTTTTCGAGTCGAGTCGAGCTGACTTTGAAATATTTCGAGTTCGAGTCGAGCTTGATAATTTTAAGCTCGCGAGTTTTCAAGTCGAGCTGACTTTGAAAGTTTTCGAGTTTGAGTCGAGCTCAGCAATACTCGAGCTCGACTCGGCTCGTTTACTCCCCTAGGTAGGGTCTCCAACGTTTATGTTCTTTTATTTTCGTGTTCATTTATGTTCGTGTTCGTTTATGTTCGTGTTCGTTTATGTTCGTTTATTTATTAAATGAACGAACATGAACAAGTATATTCCTTAATAAACGAACATGAACAAAAAAAATTATTCGTTTATGTTTGTGTTCGTTTATTTATTAAATGAACGATCATGAACATACCTCCGTTCGTGTGCGTTCGGTTCGTTTAAAGGCCTAGAAAGAATGGTAAACGGATAAACACAAATTTGATATAAGGGGTGAATTCATGAAATTTTATAGGATATTAAAACATAACATGTTGTGTAAAAGTGGAAGAGGTATCTCATGGATTTGTGGTCTTTACATGTTGTGGAATGTATTAGAAGCTCAGATTTTTTATACTAAAACATAACGTCAAAGTAAAAGCAAAAGTGGAAGGGATCTCAGCCAATCATATCGGAGGGGTCTTGTGCCAGAGTGGCAGAGGCAACCAATCAAGCTCGACAAAATTAAGGAAACAGCAACCTGTCTTGTTTCTCTACTGTAAACAAGCTTTTGATGCTCTACTTTACTTTGTTCTGCACAGCTTGCTTTGCCATTTGGCTTGGCTTGACCAACTTTTTTAAAATCAAAGCAGATAATATTTAACAAGTTAAATACATAATCTGCATAAAATTATATCTCAATAGTGTTTTTGGTGGGAGTCGCCTCTAAAATATTCTTCTGTGTTCTATGTCCCATCTATACATATAATTTTCCTTTTTCAAATTTTAGGTAAGATAGGGTTAAATTTAAAATTTGTCAAAACAATTAAATTACTGTACAAGTTATCTAAAATAAGATTAGTTTGTGATCACATCAACATAATCTACCACACAAAACATATAGAAAAAAACTGAACATTACACGTAGATGAATACATCAAAAGTACATATAACAAATTATTAAATTTAAATGTATTATATTAATTTTAATATTGCAAAATATAATATAACATTATAAACATAATAAGTAATAATAACACGACATAATTTCACAAATAGATTAAACAATAATCTCAATGCCCATTATATATATATATATATATTATAGTGTAGACCCTTTTTAATATTATATGATAATTACAGTGTAGTACACACACCGTAATATAATTGTTCGGACCTAGAATCTTAAATGAGAGGAATACTTTCTTTAATCATTGAGATTAGGGGTGAGCGTTCAATCGAGTGGAGTCGAGTTGAGTCAAAAAATTTCAAACTATTCAAGTTGACGAGTCATATTTTATAACTCGTAGTCTCTCGTTCTTTTATTAGAGGACATATTTTAAGGTAGTTATAGATGTATATACAGAAAATAGTTAAATTTAGCCTATATTTGCATTGGATTGAGATAAGAGTGAAAAAAGAAAAGAAATGTAAAAATGGCATTGTTTGCAGTGTGAGAGAAACGATTGAAAGATACAAGAAAGCATGCTCAGATTCAACAAACCCAGGTTCCGTTGCTGAAGCCAACATTCAGGCAAGTTCCATATTCATCTTATTTACGGATTACTGGTATATTAATCATCTTCACCTACACAAATTAAAATTCAAATGAACTCAGTTCTACCAGCAAGAAGCCACTAAACTCCGACGACAAATTCGTGATGTTCAGAACATGAACAGGTAACCCTCTTCTTCTTCTTCTTCAATATACATATACATATACATATACATATAGCTGATGGATGTTTGTTTCAAGGCATATCCTTGGAGAGGCTCTTAGTTCTTTGACCTTTAAGGAACTCAAGAACCTGGAAGGCAGACTTGAGAAAGGCATTTGTAGAATCCGATCCAAAAAGGTTATTTTTTTCTTTCTTTTTTGCTTCACCTTTTCCTCTTTAATAATATCTTTGTTCAACACTCACTACATTCTTCAACTCTACCAGAATGAATCACTGTTTGCAGAAATTGGGTTTATGCAAAAGAGGGTAAACTTTTCATCCTGTCTTTACATCTTTATTTAGTCAAACCCCCAGAATTTCAACTTCACTGATATGTTTTGTAGGAAGTTGAACTTCAGAATGATAACATGTACCTGAGAGCAAAGGTAAGCCTCTGTATCTGTGTGTAGTTTCAATTATAGATGGAGGAGTTGGATGCTCATCATAGATGTTGATATATGTTGGATGGCATACCCATATATGGAGGCAGATAGCTGAAAATGAAAGGGAACAAGAACAATCAAGCCAGCTGATGCAAGCCTCCTACAACCGCAACTTTCTGCCGTTAAACCTGGTGGAACCCAGTAATGATTACTCCAACCAAGACCAAACTGCTCTTCAACTTGTATAACCTAGCTACCTTCTCCCCTTCCATTCACAAATTCAAGGTTACCAACTTTAATTGCCATTAACCATTATCTTTGAAGAATTATATAGTTTAATTTCCTCCGGTTCTTAAAATATTGCTATTTTGGTGCAGCTGACATGCAAGCAGCAGCAGTCTGTAATGGTTCTACCAACTTTATGTCTGGTGAAGCATATATATATATATATCTATAAGCCATGCAAGTATATATATATATATAGTTTATAAAGATTTGAAAACTAGGTGTTGGTGATGAATTTAAGGAGCATAGGTTTCAATACTGGACTCCTTTTAACTGTTTATTTTTGTGTTATATGCTTGTTAGTTAATTAAAACTCTTGATACATGTAGAACATGCATGATTTCGAAATATTTCTTCAACTTAATAGCTACATCCCCACTACTGCTGTGATGTTATCATGTTCAAAGCCTTAGTTAAATCATAATTTATTGGGTAAAGTATATAAATAGTCTCCGAACTTTTAGGTCGCTTGCATTTTGGTCACCCGATTTTTAAAACTTACAATACAATCATTGAACTTTTAGTTCGTTTGCAGTAAGATCCTTGCTATTACCTTCAGTTAGTTATGGTTGATGTGGCACGTTACCGAGTTAACCCCACCCCACCCCACCTCTTTCTTCTTTTTCTTCTTTCTTCTTATTCTTCTCTCACACACATAAAAATAACTCCCGTTCACCTCACCTCTGGTTAGTGGTGGCTCACACTGCCATCAACATTGTCACCGGCGTGGCCTCCCGACAACACCCCAACCCTCGATTTATACTCATCGTCCACCGTTCGTTTTAAATCGCAAGAAAATTGTTCGAATACCCATCCCTGATCTCCATCGTCAATAGTCGGTGATCGTCACCACCGATACCAATAGGAGTGCTACCCCATTACGACCAAAACCCTGCTTTCTCCATGGAGAGGGCCCCGAATCTCGTTGGAAAAAAGCCATTATTCTTCTGCTACTACTGCCCCCTTCTGTGGTTTCATTTCAAATCAGTTCTTGCTTTTTAATTTCAAGACACGGGAAGCTTAACTCTTCTCTAATTCTTTGTTATGTCGTCAATGGTGGAATGATTCTTTCTAATTCCCACGCTTCTTTTTCTTCTTCTTTTGCTACCAACATTGATGCTTTACATAAGTAATACATGATGTTTATTCTTTCAACATCTTGATTAATTGTTTTTGTAAATTAGGTCAGATTGATTTTGGATATTCTGGTTTTGGAAAAAATGTAGTAATTTCATCCACTTTGATTAATGGACTTTGTAAACAAAGAAAGATTTCTCAAGCTATGAATTTTTTTGATGAAATATTGTAACCTTTCGATGTCCCTTTTCGGTAGATTTTTTGTTCTTATAAAAATCTAATTAGTTAAAATTCATAGTCTTTAACAATGGTTGCTGTTGTCATGCTCAATGAATAAAGAAAAACAACATAACTCATATCTAGAGTTCCAAATCGTGAGGAACCAAGCAAAAACATAGAAAATTACTAAAAAAAATGTAGGTTTCAAGCAAAAAGAGCATTATTTTAGAAGGAATCGAAATTCAAGTAAAAATATAGTAAAAAACCCCCACAAATTTCTAAGAAAAATCATGGGTTTCAAGCAAAACACAGCTAAATGCATTGTACCGTTGGAAGAAGAATAATAAAGAAAGAAAGAAGAAGAAAAAGAAGGGGGTGGGGTTAACGGCGGTAACTGCCACGTCAGTCATAACTAACGGAAGGTAACGCCAGGGATCTTACTGCAAACGAACTAAAAGTTCGATGACTGTATTGCAAGTTTTAAAAGTTGGTGACAAAAATAAAAATGCCCTAAAAGTTCAAGGACTATTTATATACTTTACCCTAATTTTTTACTCCATAATGATGCAAAATTGAATATTTGTTTACTTAAAAGGTCAATTATTTCCATTTTAATCACACAAGTTGGAGTTTACTTTTGTTATATCTCGTAACCCTAAACGCTACCCACACCACGCATTTCAACATGAATTGCTTTCTTGCTTCTCATTTATCAAAGTAGAACTGGATCCTAGGTTGAATTTTGATTCAATTAATACTAGTATTATTTGTTTGTATTGTGTGGAGATTGGGTTTGGATGTGTTCATATATTTAATATTTTTAATTTGAAATTTACATTAAAAAAACAATAAACCTTTCCATAAAAAACCTGATTTACTACTTTAGAGCTGCCATTGTACATAGGCTTGTAAACGAACCGAACGTTCAACGAAACCGCTCGTGAACCATTCGGCAGGAAGTTTTTTTATGTTATTTTATTAAACGAACGAACATGAACATGAACATGAACATGATTTTGTGTTCGTTTAATTAAATGAACGAACATGAACATGATTTTGTGTTCGTTTAATTAAATGAACGAACATGAACATATGACTCGTTCATTCATTTACGTTCGTGACCGTTCAATATTATGTTCGTTCATTTATGTACATTTACTTTCGTTCGTTTATGTTAGTTCATTTTTGTACATTTACTTTCGTTCGTTTATGTTCGTTCATTTATGTTTAGCTCAAAATCTCTAGACTCATTTAAAATATTAAGGCCATATAAATTTTAATCTGATACCCATTAATATTTTAAAATTCAATTAATTTTTAAATTCAAATAAAAAAAGCCAAAAATAATTAAATAGAAATTATCTATGAAGTTGCCACTTATACTAATGAATTTTATGTGATTATTATTGTTATGGTTTATGTTCATTTGTGTTCCTTTACGTTCGTTTATATTCATTTATTGTGTTCGTTTATGTTCGTTCGTTTGTGTTTGTCTACATCCGTTCATTTATGTTCGTTCATTTGTATTCGTTTATCAATTAAATGAATGAACACGAACAAGCTATATTCCTTAACGAACGAACACAAACAATAAGTTTTTTGTTCGTTTATGTTCGTGTTCGTTCACTTGTTCGGTTAAAGTTTAACATACGAACATGAACATACCGTCATTCATATTTGTTCCGTTCTCTTACAGACCTAATTGTACATGAAATGGATGCACGGATAGATGGAGGGTTTTGGGATGGTTGTATTTATTGAAAATTTTAAAATTTAAAATTATTTATTGATAATTTAATTTTCTATTTCTAAAAAATTTTAATTTAGTATTTACACATTTTTAATATAGCTTTGTAAAAATTTGTAACTTAACATAAAATTTTAGATACATCTCTAAAATTAAACATAATAAAAATAGGGGTTGATATTCAATATCAATTGTTAGTTCAATTTGGTTCCTGATATATTGATATTGAGTTTTGATTTTTAAAATTTAAAATTTTATTTACATAAAATGGTTTTGTTATATATATATATATATTGTTATTGAGTTTTGATATTATTTAGTAAAGTTTTGAACTTTTCATTAATATTTTAAAAAATATTTTTTAAAATAAGAATAATTAGTAATTATTGTATAATATTTAGTATGAAGTGTTAGATGCCTTGAACAATTAATAATGCTGGCCTGGCCTTTAGAATGAACCTTGGTGTAATACCCAAAATAGTAGGTCAGTGACTAATTTGAATGGAATTAAAGTTTGGAGGACTAAATTGAGTAATTGGTAAAGAATAAGAAATGACTTAAGTAAGACCAATTTGTAAGTGATAGTTTATTGAAAGGACATTTTGGTCTTTCAGGTGAAATGAATTTAAAAACCAATTAAATTAGGGATTTAAGAAAAAGAGGAAAGTGAAAACACTTATTTATCTTCTTCTTCTTCCCGTGGTTTTCTCTCCTCTATAGCTCCACAAGATAAACTTCAATTAATCAGTTTTTCATTTCGATTTTGGGTTGTTATTGCAACCTTAAGTGATATGTAAGTTTAAGGAAAAGTTATATGAGATTAAAACTATGAAATGGAGGAAATATTAGAGATTTAAGAAAATGGGTTTTAAATGATATGTTGATGTATGAGTGTTTATTGATGTTTATTGGTAGAATTGACTTATCAAAGTAGTAAATAAGAGATTAGAAGCATTTGATGATTTAAAAACAAGTTAGAAATCTTGGTGTGATTCTTAGAATCCAATGATATTGAGGGGTATTAGATGTTTTAAGTATTAAAATGAAGGAATGATAGTATGAATAATTAAAGAATAGTTTGATAGTATTGTATGGTGTAAAAATAACAAAATTTGGCCCCATTTATGTAATAATCGGGTTAAAAACTAAAAAATCTAGGCAAGGGTATCGGTACTGATAGAACAGTACCGATACTATAGGCTAAAATGGGATTAATTAGCTGAGTAGTATCTATACTTATTCAATCAATATCGATACCGACGAGGTATTATCGATACCATGGTAAGGGTATCAATACCAGGCCACGTCGAATCTAAAATGGGTATCGATACCGGAAAGGAGTAGCGATACCATAATATAGTAGTATCGATACTATGGAAAGGGTATCGATACCATGCAATATTGAATCAAAAATTGGTATCGATACCGGAAGGGAGTATCGGTACCATAGTATAGTAGTATTGATACCATGGTAGGTGTATCAATATTATAGAGCCAGAAAGGTTAAAAATAAGATGATATTGTTATAGAAAGTTAATGATATGTCATTTTTAGTATTGTTTAAGTATAATTGTTAGGAAGAATACTAACAATTGATATTGTACGTGTCATTATATGGATACTTGAGTAGATCATAACTAAGCTCTGAAGACAATCAAAACTAAGGGTAAAGGCAAAATACCGGAGTAATCAGCATTACATTTTGGATACATAGCAAGGAAAGTCAGGTAAGTATATTTAATTATGTACGTATATGTTACGGTTGGCCTAGTTGACTGATTTATTAATGTAAGTATGGTGATTACCAAATGACACTAGGTGTGCAAAAATTTAAGAAATTCATACTAAGCGTATGAATTTCTGTATGGGCACTTTGTGTTCAAAATATAAGAAATTCATACTAAGTGTATGAATTTCAGTATGGGCACCATGGGTACGAACTGAGAAATTCATACTAAGTGTATGAATTTCCATATGGGAAATAGATGTGAAATGGTCAAAAGTTCATAATAGAAAGGTGAATTGTTGTAATTGTAGTGGATGAGTAATCTATGTCAATTATAGTAAAATTGTGGTTGCACTGACATTATGGGTATAAATCATAGAATGTATAATAATTGAAAGGGTTAATTGATATTAGGAATGATTATTATAGTAGAGACTACTCTAAAATAAAAGATTACAGACCTAACTATGGAAATGACAGAAAGGTGTCATTTATTCCAGTTAGATGAAAGGTTGAGTGCCTTTGAGACCTAACTTTGCA